TTGATGTTTAGAACTTGAATTGGTTCAGGCAGAAATACTGGAAACTTACCGTAAAAACAAGGGAAGACGAGGAAGGGTTGGATGGAGAAGAAAACTTTGAACTCAAACTGAATGAGAAGTCAAGGTCTGGTATATAGACGGTAGTTCCTGATGGTAGCTACAAAAGAAAAAAAAATTGTGGGACACAACTGTTGGAATACAGGAGAAATGTGAGGAAACAGGTAGGAACCAGGAAACCTGTAGAATCAAACTCTGTTTTAGACCAAAGTTTAAGGTGACTAGTGACCTGGCACCAGACACAACCAATTGCGTCTATCCCTCTGGGGAAAAGATTTAGTGACTTTGAAGCTTTCTCCTTTTCTTTCTTTTTGGTAACTTTGTAAAATAATGTTTCCTGGTTACAGAAGTAATAACTAATTTTGGAAAATTTACAAATACAGAATACCAGGTAGATTAAAATAAAATCTCAACATTTCATTGTACTTTTTTTCATGAATAGGAATCCTTAACCTGAGTAGCCTGAAATGCAGGACAGACTTTTTAAAATATTTTATTTATTTATTTGACAGACGGGGATCACAAGTAGACAGAGAGGCAGGCAGAGAGAGAGGCAGAGAGAGAGGAGGAAGCAGGCTCCCCACTGAGCAGAGATCCCGATGCGGGGCTCGATCCCAGGACCCCGAGATCATGACCTGAGCCGAAGGCAGAGGCTTTAACCCACTGAGCCACCCAGGCACCCCTGCAGGAGCCTGTGAACCCTGAAAATTGTGTACAATAGGTGCTTGTGAGCTTTTTGGGAAAAGGAGCTCATAGCCTGATGAAAATTAGGTTCTCAGAAGCGCAGCCATCTTCAAAATACTAGAGACTTGAGGTATAGATCTTTACAATTCACTGCCTACACACTGTAGGGTTTTTGTTTGTTTGTTAAGATTTTGTTTATTTACTTAGGGGAGGGAGAAGCAGACTCCCTGCTGAGCCAGGGCTCTATCCCAGGACCCTGAGATCATGACCTGAGCTGACGTGAGACTCTAAACCGACTGAGCCACCCAGGTGCCCCCCACTTCTTCTAATGTCACCATCCGAGTTTGCTTCGTGCAGTAGTTTGGCTTACCCCTCCCCTTAATCTTTACACCCAAGGTGGGGCGCAAACACACGACCTTGACATCAAGGGTTGCACACTCCACGGACTGAGCCAGCCAGTGGCCCAATTCATGCGGTGGTTTAAGACCTCAGACCAATGGCGTTGGCTGTGATTTGACGGCGGGACTCTGTTGAACAGGAGTTGTAACGGCTGTCCCTTAACACTGGCATTTGGTTGACAGTCATTCCAAAAGCCTGACAAACTGCACCAGGGGAGAGAAGATGGCAGGCCGGGCTTTACTCTGGCCTCACGTCCAGCTTCCCTGTGGCCCCAGAGGGTGGGCGGTGTCCTCGCCCTCCTGCTGACAGCCAGGTCCCTGCGAGGCAAACCCCACACTTCGCAAGTGTCAGATCCCAGGCCGCGCTGCCGCAGGGGGCGCGGTTCCTCACTGTGTAGGACGCAGGGAACCGTCCCGGCCGCCACCAGCGTCATCAGCTGTCACTGTCTTCGGGAGCTAGTTTCCTTTCTAGGCCTTGGGGCTGGCTCTGGAGGTAACAACCGTCATTTCCCGCTGGGATTTCTGCTGCAGTAATTGTGCTTGCCCTTTCTCGAAGGAGACCGGGGGAATTTCCTCCCCGGAGTCGCAGGCGGCTCCCAGGCGGCTGTGGTTCTGTGACCCCACTGGCATCCCAAAGCGGACGTGCTCGGGAGGCTTCCACTTGGCCGGCTGCGGCGGGACGCCTGTGGACCCCCGCCCTGGGAGAGTTACGGGCTCCGGCCTTGGAGAGAGCGAGTCCCTAGAGGTGGGCTGTGGCTCTCACTTTCCCTCGGTTGCGTGTTCTAGAAGGATGCCTAAAACAGAAGAGGCTGACCTCATCCTTACCCCACCCGAAGATTAAGTGAGGATAAGTAGGTAACTAGCAAGCTGTTGCTGACATAGCTAAATTACCTGGCAAAGAATGTTCTTCACGTTCTCTGTCTCTGTCTCACACCCACCCCCCCCACTCCAGAAGAGCAATCTTTTTTCTTTTTTAAGATTTTATTTATTTATTTGACAGAGAGAGAGATCACAAGTAGGCACAGAGGCAGGCAGAGAGAGAGGGGGAAGCAGGCTCCCCGCCGAGCAGAGAGCCCGATGTGGGGCTCGATCCCAGGACCCTGAGATCACAATCTGAGCCAAAGGCAGAGGCTTTAACCCACTGAGCCACCCAGACGCCCCATCTTCAGGATATGTCCTTTAGGACACTGAACGGGACATCCAAATGAGCTAAGAAGGTCCCAGTCTTCCCTTCCCAGAGTGAGTAGCCATTGCCCAGGTGACAACGGGCAAGCAGAGCTCACGCAGTTTCTTGCTGCAAATAAATTCTTCAGCGTCTGCTTCCTGGAGGTAATGAGGAGAATGCCAGCAGGTTTCGAACAGACTTCAGCTGTCTGGGAAACACTTGACGTAATTTCCTGCTCTAGAGAATAGGAGGAGGCCCAGCAAGTTGGAGAGTCTTAACTCCCTTTCTTTATGGTCTCAGATGCCCTTCTCGAAGACTCCTTCGCGACCTGCCCACACGCCCCCCCCCCCCCTCCTGAAACGTCCTGCTCTGGCTCCCGCAGCCCTTCCACTCAGGAATGTTCTTTTTACGAGGGTGGCAAGAATCCTCGTCACTTGGACTTCCCAGTGCATCTGGGCCTGAACTTTGTAAGGAACTTTACAAATAAGCCCTAATGAAGCTTGGAAAGCCCCCGGAGAGGGCTCCTAGCCGTTAGGGACCCGCAGCCAGCTCTGAGGTGGACCGGCCGTTGAGGCCCCTCCGGCAGCCACACAGCAGTTTGCCAACGGAGGCAGTGAGCGAAGCGACCGCTTGAGGTCACCGACACTGCAAGGAGAAAGCAAGTCCGACACCGCGTCATGAACCGCCCTTTCACTTGCTTTTTTGCCACATCCAGTGGGGTTCAGATACTGGGGTTTCAATAGGGTCATTAAGACTTTTGAGCTAGATTTCAGGTAATTGCAAAAAAAAAAAATTAGCAAGTTGAAGATTTAATTTTTTTCTAGTTGTGGCTCAGAAGATTAAGTGGCTCCAGTCCTGATCTCAGGGTCGTGAGATGGAGCCCCATGGTGGGCTCTGCACTCGGCGGGCGGGGGGCTGGGGATCCTCCTTGAGGATTCTCTCTCTCTTTCCCTCTGCCTCCCTCTTCCCCTGCTCATGCTCTCTCTCTGTATCTCTCTCTCAAATAAATAAAAACATTTTTAAAAGATTTTATTTATTTGACAGGCAGAGATCACAAGTAGGCACAGAGGCAGGCAGAGAGAGAGGGGGAAGCAGGCTCCCCGCCGAGCAGAGAGTCCGATGTGGGGCTCGATCCCAGGACCCAGAGACCATGACCTGAGCCGAAGGCAGAGGCTTTAACCCACTGAGCCACCCAGGTGCCCCTCAAATAAATAAATCTTAAATGTTTTTTTAAAATCTAAAGGAACAGTTCTCAGTCAAGGGCAATTTTGCCCCTCAAAGGAACATTTGACAGTCTAGAGACATTCTTGATTGTCACATCTTGGGGAGAGGAATGCTGCCGGCATCTCACTGGGGAGAGGTCAAGGATGTTTGATCCCGTAACATGCAGAACAGACCCCCACAATAAAGAATTATCTGGTCCAAAACGTCAGTCAGTAGGGCCGAGATTGAAAACCTCTGGTCTCAAGTTTCAAAGTGATTCAGCGTCCTTGTGTCCTCTCTCTCAGCCCTTAATCTTATGTTGGTGACCTTTTAGCCCATTCAAATTAGGATCCAAGCTCCTGGGAGCATCATGGGTTCCTGGCTCAGCCCTGTTCTAGATGCATCTGCTGGTGATGACATTCCCCTAAGCCGTGGGGGGTTGGAGACACCCCTGTCACCACCCCATATGTTCCCTGGCAATCAGACGCATTGTGCCTCTAGCACGTGGTCCTTCCAAAAGAGGAACCATTTTTTGCAGAGTTCCCGGGTGGGCCCCCGAGCTTGGAGGTCCTGTTTTCCCTTCCGTGAGGGGAGTGAGGCATTCGTTTCCTCCGGCAGGGCCAATTCCAAGAGCACCTGTTTGTTTCCTCCCTTCTCAAGACCCTACTGCCAGGGAGACCCCAGGCCGTGGCCGTTTGTCCAGCCGTCAGCAGGACACGGCCACAGTGATGCTCAGCCAATAGAAAAATACCAAGGAACTTCAATTCAACCTTTCCTTAACTTAAAAAACTTAAAAACTGTCTTTTCTAGGGGGTGAACCCCTAGGAAACCCTAACCTCACCAGGGAGCCCCCTAGACAACCCCATGCAGCCTCCCCTTCCCCTTGCCACCCTCCCCGCCTTGGCTTCCTCCTCCAAGTCCTGGTGCCTCCCACCCCCGGGTGAGCCCTGGTGACCAGCTCTGGGCAGTGGCCCACCTCATGCCCCCGGTAGACCTTGAAAAGGAGAAAGTCCACCTAGATCTCATCTGATGGGTGCTGTGGACTCTGAAAACTCGCTCTGAAAGCCAGGTGCCTTGGAGAAGGAGCTCTTTCCCTGAGTGGCTGTCCCGGTGGGTCACCTGCTATCGTTAATCAAGACAAACGGGCTCCTAAAGGTGGCCTGACAGCTGTATTCATTTCTCAGGCTGCTGTAACCCGTCACCACTAACCCGTGGCTTCGGCAACAGAAATGTGTTGTCTCCATTCTGGAGGCTACAGATGTGAGGTCAGGGGTGGGCGCGCTCCTTCTGAGGCCAGCAGGGAAGTGTCTGTCCCAGGCCTCTTGAGTATGTCTCCGGACTGGAGATGGTGACAGTAGATGGCTGTCTTCTCCCTGCGTCTCTTCACGTCGGCTTCCCTCTGTGCATTCTCTGCATCCGACTGTCCCTTTCCATAATGACACCGGTCAGACTGGACCTGTGCCCACTCTAATGACCTCATTTTAACTTGATTGCTTCTGTAAGACCCCCTCTCTGGAGGAAGCCGCGTGCTGAGGTCCTCCATGACGTTTTGGGGGAGAAATGATTCAACCCGTAACAACTGAACGCAGTCCATGATCTGGGATTGGATCCTTGACTGAGGAAAAAAAAAATGACAGGGAAGAGATTATTGAGGCAATTAGCAAAATTTGAATATGGACTCTATGTTAGATAATATCAGTGTTACATCTCTTGTTTGGAAATTGTACTGTGGTTGTATAGAAAAGTCTTCTTGGGTGCCTGGGTGGCTCAGTGGGTTAAAGCCTCTGCCTTCGGCTCAGGTCATGATCCCAGAGTGCTGGGATCAAGCCCCGCCATCGGGCTCTCTGCTCAGCAGGGAGCCTGCTCCCCCCGCCCCCCGCCCCTCTCTCTCTGCCTGCCTCTCTGCCTACTTGTTATCTCTGTCAAATAAATAAATAAAATCTTAAAAAAAAAGAAAGAAAGAAAAATCTTCTTCCCTTAGGAGACAACTGGCAGTGTTTAGGGATAAAGGAGCGTGCATCTCGCACCCTAAAGTAATTCAGAGGAAAAATGTTAAAATTATGGGTATATATGGGTTGCCTGGTTAGTTTAGTTGGTAGAACACGTGACTCTTGATCTCAGGGTTATGAGTTTGAGCCCCTTGTTCACTGTAGAGATTACTTTATAAATCTTTAAAAAATTATAAATATAAACGTGAATTGATGTAAAATGTTGGGGTTTGGAAGCCAATGGTCAAGAAAAAAATTCTTGGGTGTTTTGATTAAAGCACAGGGGCAGGACCCATGGGCAGAAAGAGCCCATTATATATTTTCAAGTTGGGAGGGGGTCAGGGATAGCCTAAGTCTCTAAGGAATTTGGAAGCAAGGTTTCCAGGACCTCGAGGGTCTTGGTGTTGTTAGGAAAATGTCATTTACTACAGTCTAGTAAAACCTTAGTCATGAGACCCTTCAGATGTGTATCAGTGGGCCATATGCTTGGAGGATGATTTCCAACATGTATCTTGGGGGGTAAGAGATAAAGGAAGTTTCCAAAGGGATTTTTATAGGATCCTGGAGGTGGGGTTAAGCTAAGGTTGCCTTTTGCCTCCAGCAACGTAACTAACATGAGGCAACTTAGGTCCTTGAGGACTTGTCTCGAGGACTTGTCTCAAGGACTTGTCAATGGGCTGCAAAAGAAATTTAATTTTTTCTGGATTCCTTTTGCCTTTGGTCTCCACATCACAAATTATATGTTCATATATAGCATGCCTATATGCTATATATGTTATGTGTAGTATATAAAATTATATATATAAATTATATACATATATAATCTGCACTAATGTGGCAAAATGGTCTTTGTATTACTCTTCTGAATTTAGAATTAATTCAAGATTAAAAATTGAAAAAAAAAAAAAACAAACCAACACTACAGTGGTTGACTTTCTTTACAGCAGATAGTTCCTTTTCTTCTCTCCAGATTATTCTGAGCTCTCTGCACGTAGAATTTTAGGAGGTGAACATTGTTCATTCTCAACAGGAAGCTCATAGTTTTGCTTCTGAAAAATGAAGACTTCTTGGAACCCTGGTTTTCCATTTGGTAGTAAGGCATTGATGGAGTGCCCCGTGCACAGACTGCCCCCTCCGCCCAACCCTGCACAGGGTGGCCTTGCTGGGAGGCGGAGTGATGTGTCTGGGGAGAATGGTTGCCACCCACAACCTGAGCTCCTGACCCGTCATGGCCAACTTCCCATGCTGGGCCATTACACTGGGCTGGTATGCACTCCTCTGCCCACCTCGAGGGGACAGTGACCTGCACTGCAAGCCTTCGGGCTTTCATAAGGGCAGTGGGCAGTAGGGAGATGAGTTGAATGCCTTAAATCCTTGGGTCACCTTCTCAGAGGTGGTGGTCCTCCTGGGGTAACCCCTGGGAGCTTCATTCATTCTGTAATCTGAGCTAAGTGGTCTGGGAAATCACAAGGAGCCATGGGGAAATCAAGGGTCAGACCCTTAACCCACTAAGTCACCAGGCGCCCCCAGAGGTATCTTTTTAAAGCACAAATCGCACCGTATCCACTGTTTAATACTTTCCATGGCTTTCTATCACACTTAGAATAAAACTCACTATAGCCTGTAAGTCTGTCCATAAACTGGCACCCAGCTGGTATGTTTGTCTACTCCTTCTTCTCACATACTTTCCCAAGCTCACTCTGCTCTAGCTCTACTGGCCTCATTTCTAGTCCTCAAACTGTCCAACCTTGTTGCTGCCACAGGATCTTTGCTCATGCTGTTTCCTATTCCTGCAGGAGTCTCTGCTCCTATCTTCCTATAGCTCATTTCTTCTATTCATTAGGTCTTGCCTCAAATGTTACCTCCTCCAAAGGCCTTCCATCACATCACCCCTTTCCCTAACCACTCTTTACTTTGTTTCGTTTTGCAATACTATTTACTCCTTCTCTTACTAGAAAAAAACTTGTTTAAAATTTATTTTTTTTTTAACATTGTATTTATTTATTTGAAAGAGAGAGAGCACAAGCAGGGGGAGTGGCAGGTGGAGGGAGAAGCAGGCTCCGCACTGAGCAAGGAGCCCAACACGGGGCTTGATCCCAGGACCCTGGGATCATGACCTGAGTCAAAGGCAGATGCTTAACCAGCTGAGCCACCCAGGCACCCCAGAAAAAGTCTTATTTATAGGCCAAATTAAAAAAATCTCATTGGCTTGGGCACCTGGGTGTCTCAGTTGTTAAGTGTCTGCCTTTGGCTCAGGACATGATCTCAGGGTCCTGGGATCGAGCCCCACATCGGGCTCCCTGCTCAGCGGGAAGTCTGCTTCTCCCTCTCCCACTCCCGCTGCCCGAGTTCCCTCTCTCCCTGTGTCTCCCTCTGTCAAATAGATAAATAAAATCTTTTAAAAAAAATCTCAGTGGCATAAACACAAAAAGGATTAGTTCTTGCTCATATCACTTTTTTTTTTAAGATTTTATTTATTTATTTGACAGATAGAGATCACAAGTAGGCAGAGAGGCAGGCAGAGAGAGAGAGAGAGGAGGAGGCAGGTTCCCTGCTGAGCAGAGAGCCGGATGTGGGGCTCAATCCCAGGACACTGGGACCATGACCTGAGCTGAAGGCAGAGGCTTTAACCCACTGAGCCACCCAGGCGCCCCCTCATATCACTTTCTGATGCAGGTTGGAGAGAGAGAGAGTGAGTGTGTGTGTGTGTGTGTGTGTGTGTGTGTAGGAGCTGTGCTCCACATTCTCATGGAGGGAATTAGGCTTCTTCTATCTATTGGCTCCATCACTTTCTAGAGGTTTCTCATCTGATGAAGCAAAGAGGGAAGAGAGAAAGAACATGGGTGACCACAGGTAGGTCCTTATGGACCAGGCCTGGCAGTCCCGTTCTTCACCTCTGCCCACATTTCACCCGCCAGAACTCCATGACATGCTCTCTTCTTACTCCCCAGGGGTCTGGGAAGTGTAGCTGAGTGGTGTGTCCAGGAAGAAGAGGAGAACACAGACATTTGCATGCACGGTGTTTTACTTTGCCCTCATCCAGTACCTACAACAGTGCCAGGCACATGATATGCACAAAGTAATCATTCACACACTAGACCCACACCACACACACACACACACACACACACACACACACAAACACGATGCTACCATTTTTGTAATAATTTGGGGAGTAATGAAGGGAAGGCACGTATTGGTCAGGGAGTCAGCCCTGCAGGGGACGAATTCCCAACACTGGCAGCTGGGAGGGTGTCTGGCATTGGGTGCAGGGGCTGGAAGCGACAGCCTTGGGGCCCTGGCGGGATCACCTACATGCCGGGACCTTGGGTGGGACACTCACCCTCTCTGGAACTCACTGTGCCTCCCTGTTAACACAGCCAGTGGTCCCTGGCCCAGGGGCTGCTGTAAGGGGCAGAGGGCTTGCTGTAGGCAAGGGGACAGGAGGACTGCCCGGCGCCCGGTGAGTGCCTCGGGGAGCTTGGCCATTATCACCCTTGTCGGGCCATCTTTTTCCTCTGGAAAGACTGGGTTCCGAGACAGACATGTTTGCAAAAGGTAAAGGAAACAAGTGTCTCTGTCCTTTTAATAATTTTATTTTCCTTTTTTGCAAGCCCACTTGCCCTTGTCCTGACACTTATTCTGGGCCTCAGTTTCCCGGCTGTGGGTCATCTTCCCTGCCCTCTCCTTTGTCCTCTTCTCAGGCTCTTCTGTCACCTTCCCCTCTCCACACCAGTTAGTAAATAGCGAGGAACCAAATGCCCAATCAGGCCTCAATTCAACCCATCCCGCCAGCTCTGTCCTAATTCTCGAATTAAAGGGGCTGCCGTAGGTCCTCATCCCATCAGAGGGCTCAAACCTCCCGCCTGCCAGGACCCGCCGCCACCCCACACCTCACTCACCACACCCTGAAACCAGCCTCTGAGGCCAGACACTTGAGCTCTGAGCTTTGAAAGTTTTAACAGGAAAAAAATAAACCCACCTCCCTGCCACCTGAAACATCTAAAACACCAAGGTGAAGAGCAATGGCGTTTCTCAAACTTCCGGCATGTCACCTACCCCAGGGTTCCAGATCGGGCTGTGAAAGCGATCCAGACCCCCAAACCGCACCATGTGGCACCACGTTCCTCCAAATGGACTCAACCCCCCAGGACCTCTAAAGATGCACCGTGAGTTGACAATGAATTCTTTTGGTTTTACATAGGAAGTGAGGAAAAAAACCACAGTTCTTATAATGGTCTAAAAATCAGAAAATAGAAGCTTTTGGTTAAAAACATGCGTTTCCCCCGCCTTCCCCCCATGGTGGGTTAATATTTTGAATGTGGATACAGGGCGTGGGGCTGGCTGTTTATTTTTTTATTTTATTTTTCTTTTTTTAAAGATTTTTTATTTATTTGACAGAGAGATCACAAGTAGGCAGAGAGGTAGGCAGATAGAACCCAACGTGGGGCTCAATCCCAGGACCCTGAGATCATGACCTGAGCTGAAGGCAAAGGCTTAACCCTCTGAGCCACCCACGTGCCCCGGGGCTGGCTGTTTAAAACAACATGGGAGGTACTGAGTTCTGTGTGTTACAGCGGAGGGAGGTGTTTGTGGAAAGCCTTGGGCTTCCACCCAGCCGGAAAAACCACCACAGGGAGGCAGTAGAGCTCAGTGGTTAAAAGTAAAGCCTCTGAAAGCTGAAGGTTGGAGTTTGGAATCTGACTCTAGTACTTAATAGCTGTGTGACCTCCTGAAAGTTACTTAACTGCTCTGTGTCTCACTTTCCAACTCAGCAAAATGGGAGGAAACTACCATCTAAACCTGAAGGATGTTTTAAGGGTGAATGAGCTAAATAGTTTAACAAGTAAGCTCTCAATTAGTTTAAAAAAGCAGGAGTTTAAGGCAGGGGCAAAAAAAAATGCAGATAGGTCGATGCATAGATAGGCATTTTTTGTTTTGTTTTGTTTTTGAGAGCGCAATATTTTTAAGGCTGCGCAAAATGCTTTAACCCCAAAAGCTCCAAATAGTTACTCAAAGAGCCTGTCTCCAGTCCTCACCTACAGTCACATCCCTTTCTGGTCATGAAGCAGATCTCAAGAATGGCTTTAGAGTCGCCACGACCCCCCACAATGTTCTTCTTCTAGCTTCCTTGTCAGGCAAAGGATGTATAATTTGTTCCATTTCACTCTTGGGTGTGACAAGCATTCTCTTAGCCCTGGTTGACTGTACACACACACACAAATAATTTATATAATTGTCTTGTTATATGTAATAAAGTTATGATATAATATGATACATTAAAATTACATACCAATTTTATCTTTTTTAAATTTAGGATTTTTTTTTAAGATTTTACTTATTAATTTGACAGACAAAGATCACAAGCAGGCAGAGAGGAGGAAGCAGACTCCCTGCTGAGCAGAGAGCCCAATGCAGGGCTCAATCCCAGGACCTTGGGATCATGATCTAAGCTGAAGGCAGAGGCTTTAACCCACTGAGCCACCCAGGTGCCCCTTTAAATTTAGGATTTCACAGAGGTGGGAAGGCTACTTTTTCTGCTTTATTTGGTTGTTGCTGTTCCTCAAGTTTCAGAAAAAGAGCTTAAAGTGAAAGCTTTCAGTGTTGATCACATTGAGTAGGGTCCAAATGGGGGTTTTGAGGGGAGATCGTGGCTGGTGATTAAGTGGGTGATTGATAACATTTGGGGAGAAGGAGAAGGCTAATTAGGTGTGGTGGGATCTGGGGGATCAGAGGAGAGGAATTAAGGCTTAATTACCTGATTGGATCATGGTTCCATCTACAGGTTGGCTGGTTGTTAGGAGTGGACTTGTGAAAGGAAGTGAGAGAAACCAAGTGGGTGATCCTCTTTCTCTCCCAAAAGCCTGGGTAGATCAAGGTTGACCTTGAATCCTGGCAACTTCTCAGCTGCTTAGAAGGAATTTTTTAGGGCTGGAGAGATTCCAAATGAGAGCTAATATTCCTAATGGTGAACATTCACTCGGCATTTCTCCTGCACCGAGTACAGCCCTTATATACTCAAACCTCTCAGGAAAGCCTCATTACACTCTATGAGTTGGGTGGGGTCCATTTTTACAGATGCGAAAACAAAGGCACAGGGAGGTCATGTGATCTGCCAAGGGGCAGCCGGCTTCTTCGGTTTCAGCTTCTCCAAAGGACCAAGAGAGGTGGTGTCCCAGAGCCCAGACTCTTTGGCTCTGCAGACCTGGCTCCTGGTGTGGGCTCTGCAATGGACAAGCGTGCCCAGCAGAGCTGGGTGGCTCCCCATGGACACCCAGGAGGGTGTGGGGAAGAGTAAGCTGGTGGCATCCGGTGAAGAAGCCATGTCCTTTCTTTAGTGGGAGGGCACCAATAGGGAGGCCGGGCGGGGAAGCTGAGGGCTACTAGCAGGGATGCTGGGCCTCAGAACTCTCCCCAGAATGAATCAGCACTCTTCCAGCAGCTGCTGGTTTTTGAAGAGGAAAGATCTAATGCTGGGCAGAGGAAGGACTGGAACTGACAGTTTTTGTTTTTTTGTTAAAAGATTTTATTTATTTGACAGAGATCACAAGTAGGCAGAGAGGTAGGCAGAGAGAGAGGGAGGGGGAAGCAGGCTCCCTGCTGAGCAGAGAGCCAGATCCCATGAACGAAGGCATAGAGATTAACCCGCTGAACCACCCAGGAGCCCCATGGAGCTGACAGTTTTAAAAGCTGCTTCCCTGAGGTGCGTCCCTTCAAGCCAACACTGTTTTCTGAGGCTTTTACATGAGCGTGGGAAGGAAACTAGTAGATACCACAAACATCCCCTGACAGGCATTACCTCTCTCAATTCCCTCAAACACCTGGGAGGCAGAAGCAAGGATTCCACCTCTAGAGAGAAAGAAATGGCGTTTCAGAGAGGTTGAGGAAGCTTCCTAGAGTCACACAGCCACCAAATAGCGAAACTGGAAAGTGAATTGTCCTGTCAGTCCCCTGCTTAATTATTGCCAGGGATGGGACTGATTGCTGGTACAAAGCCAGCAAGAAAAATAGCTGTGACCCCCTCACCCCCCAAGACTTTTAGTATCCAATCGAAGAGCTGAGCCTGATATCCAAATAACCAACAGGAGTCGCAGGCTTCGGTCAAAAACTTTCTGGAGCTGACTCTGCTTTTCATTCAGTGACTCTCATTGGCTAACCATGGCCCTGTGAGGAAGAAATCATCGTTCCCACTTTACAGGTGGGGCAATTGGGTCTCAGAGAAGTTAAGAAAGTTGCTTAAGATTCCCCAGCAATCGGTTGTCCCTTCCCAGCCAAGGGAGGCACCATGAGAAGAACAAACAATCCGCGTGGGTGGGGGTGGTTACATCTGGTGTGTGTGGAGCTCCAGCCTCATTCCAGGCCTGAAGTGAGTCATCTGCACGTCCCAGAACCAGCCCCTCTGGACCCACGGCTGTTTTGTACATTAGGCAGAGCTGAGCCCAGATAATGTGGTTCTAAGCAGAGAAGATGGCCTCCTTCCAACCACGTCCTCTCTGCAGGCCCTTGGGAGCTGGCCAGGCCCGGTGACCCATGGAAGGGGTGATGCTGTGCCCTGGTGTCCAAGCAGCAGGGCTTGGCCAAGTCTGCTGGGCTCCTTCCAGCTCAGAAACCCATTTGCTTTTACCCGTCAATGTGAACCAGATGTGGGGCACCTCCACTCTGCAGGGCAGAGGCCACTTCTGGAGGCCCCTGACCACCCGGCCCCCCAGCCCCACAGCATCTGGGGAGGGGGCTCACTGAAGCAGCGGTTGGTAGCCCAGCCCCCTTTCCTCCCTCCTGCTCCTTGCACCCCCGTCCCATTCCTCATGGCACCCCTGCCTCTTCCCTCCCCACCAACAGGAAATGACACTGGACAGATCTCAAAAGTCCATATGTCTTGGACAGTCTCTCTAGGAATTTTCTGGGCCTCTAGTTTGCTCTATGTGTCATGTCCTTTCCACTCAGCACTTAAAAAAAAAAAATAGGAAAAAGGAAAATAAGAGTGAGTGTCCTTCTCCCCAGGGCTCCCTTACCTTGATCTTGGCCAAGAAATGTCGTGTCTGTATGTGCTGGTGGATTCGGGGAGATTGTAATCTGTTACTCTCATTATTGATTTTGATAATTATTCCCCGTGTGGCCAGTAGGAGTCCTCAAGCTAATTGCTGTGTCCTTTTGTCAGGCCTGTCATTCTCTGAGCTTTCTAGCACAAGATGTTCTAGGCTCATCTCGTGCTTTTCCTGTCCCAGCCCTGGGAAATCAGTCATTCCTCCAAGGACCCTGGTTCATTTTAGTGCGGATGGTGTTTAGGAGCTGAGATCTCAATGCTGGGTGTGGTCATTGCTGCCAGGGTGAGTCCTCTCTTTTCCTCTTGGGGGAGAAAATAAGGGAATGTAGATGTGTATACACGTCCAGATACAGCAGAACACATACAACATGACATACAGACAATCACAGCCAGGTATATCGACGTCTACTTATTTAAACGCATTACGGTAAAATACTCAGAACATAAAGTTTACCATCTTAACCATTTTCAGGGGCATTAAGAACCCTCACTTGTATAACCCTCTCCCCCATCCCTTCCCAGATATCCTCATCTTGCCAAAACTCTATCTAGTAAATTCTCATCTCTATAATTCCTTTTATATCTCTATATACTGAAAGAGTTCCCACCAATATGAGTTCACACCAGTGTGTCTGATTTCCATCCAACACCACAGGCTTTGTCCCAGTCTTCTTCCCTTTCTGTATTTATAACTCTGTTCTTGGACAGTGAGGATTTCCCCTCCCCGCCTGGGCTCTGGCTCTCTACTCCAGGCTGTACCTGCATGGACAGTCTTCCTACCCTTCTCGGGCTCTGAATCCATTTGTCAGGCCACCAGCACACTGTGTGGGCACCCACTCGGGTCACCAGGGCTCCTTACCACCTTCAACTAGGGACACCTACCTAGCTCTGTCTCACCTAAGGTTTTAGATTGAATTATTCCAGAAAGGAAGGAGAAGGGGAAAAGGATATAAAGAAGAGCTATTAGTCCCATCATTTTAAAGATTTATTTGTTTATTTGAGAGAAAGAGAGCAGCATGGGAGGGGCAAAGGGAGAAGGAGAGAGAGAATCCAAAGCAGGCTCCATGCCCAGTGTGGAACCAAACTCGGGGCTTGATCTCACGACCCTGAGATCATGACCTGAGCCAAAATCAAGAGTCAGACGCTCAATGAACTAAGCCACCCAAGCGCCCCAGTCCCATGATTTTTAAACTAAATGACACAGACTTCATTCAGTTCTCATCAGACTACCACTGGCCTTTTTCCATTACAGGATCCAATCCAGGATACCATCTTGCACAGAGTTGTCCAGTCTCCTCCAACCTGTGACAGTTTCTGAGTCTATCCTTGTGTTTCTGTATCTTGATACTTTTGAAGAGTATACTCTGCTATTTTGTATAATGTTCCTCAATTTGAGCTCATTTGATATTTTCTCATGACTAGACTGGGGATATAGATTTTGGGGAGGAATACCAAAGAGATAAAGTGCCCTTTCCATTCAATCATGTGAAGGGGAGCGTGATGCCACCGTGTGCTGGTTACCTTTAAAGTTGGGGAAACCGGGGGCGCCTGGGTGGCTCAGTGGGTTAAGCCTCTGCCTTCGGCTCAGGTCATGATCTCAGGGTCCTGGGATCGAGCCCCGCGTCTGGCTCTCTCCTCGGCAGGGAGCCTGTTTCCTCCTCTCCCTCTCTCTCTCTCTGCCTGCCTCTCTGCCTACTTGTGATCTCTCTCTGTCAAATAAATAAATAAAATCTTTTTTAAAAAATGGGGAAACTGAGTTTCCAAAGCTGTCATCGATGAGGGAGGATTAGAAGCTGGGCTGGTTTCTGAGCCTTGTGCCGATTTCCTGAATTTGAGAGGAAGGACTGGCCAGTGTAGGAGACAACAAAAGGCCCCTGGTGTTCAAGTCAAGGGTGGACGGTGGGGAGACTTTACATCCATATGAGGTCCTCAGGCCAGGGCTGGATTCACCACCCGTGGCCTCTTCCCCAGGACTCTGTCCAGTCTTGTCTTAAATTCCCTGTCTTGTGCAAGCAGCAACGAGGGCTCCTCTTCAAATAGATCTGGCAAGACCATCTTTTATCCATTAGATGAGATTGTCTGGTCTTTGTGCCTCTAGCGCTGGGATGGAAATAGTCTGATAATTCAAAAAAGATGCATTTTTCATGAGGGTTCAGGTTATACAAGAATCCTATAACCAAACCAGCTAGCAGTCATGTGGTCGTCTGTGTCCGCAGCCCCCCTCTGGAGGTCCTGCCTATCCTCTGGGCCTCTCCCGGTGGTTTGCTTACAGAACAGGCGGTCAAAGGGAATTAGCTTATGGATGTTGGTGACGCTGGCTTCCCTTTGCCTGCTCTTGAGCTCTGTGCCTAGCAGTTATCAACAAAATCCCTGCTTCAGAAACTCCGAAACAGCCTGAACGTACAGAGTGAACATTCCAAACATGTCCTCCGGGCAGTGGTCAACCAGCATATGTCTTTTGTCTGGCCCTCACTTAATTAAAAAGTTTAAAATTAGTTCACAACATGAAAAAATCAGGAGCTCACCGTAAGAGCTGGATTTGGGCCTCTCTTGAAAAATCAGATGTGGCAGACATTCCTACATGGCCGCAAATGGCCAGGGCTCAACAGTGGCTGTCGCTTTCAAATGTGGACACGTGCACCCGTTCACTCTCTTCCTTGCGGTTCCCTACATTACCATCCCCAGCCCCATTCGTGTGTATCGTCCGCCTGGGCTTGTAAGACGTCTGAGTCCACAATTCTGTTACATTCTTGCACTTTATTCATTCATGCTACACTGACTGAGCCCTTGACCCAGACCACGTTCTCTCCTGGACTCCAAGATCAACAGCACCTACCCTGGTGATTCTAGAACTGTATGGAAAAGTCCCTGCTAAGATAAATCCTGTTGATGAGGGAGTGTTGAAGTGGCACCCCCTAGCACATATATCCTTGAAGTCACCCTCTAAATTCAAGGGAGGTTTATAGGGAAAAGCTGCTTTCTTTACTCTGGGACCCCTGGCCCCTGGCTGAACCATCTGTTGGTCTGGACTTGTCCTGTGGTTGACTTTTTTTTTTAAGATTTTATTTAATTTATTTGACAGACAGAAATCACAAGCAGGCAGAGAGGCAGACAGAGAGGCAGGCAGAGAGAGAGAGGGGGAAGCAGGCTCCCTGCTGGCCCGATGAGGGGCTCCATCCCAGGACTCTAGGATCACGACCTGAGTGGAAGGCAGAGGCTTTAACCCACTGAGCCACCCAGGTGCCCCCTGTGGTTGACTTTTAATGGGGCTTCATCTCTCTGCTAATTTTTTCTTTCTCTCTCCAACAGCTTCTCTGTTTATGTGTTTATGTGTTTTCTCTTTCTGTGTTTATGTCGGGACCCCGCCACAGCTGTGAGAGGCTCCAGAGAGTGTGAGAGGGACAAGTGCAGGGCACCCAGCTGTGGCGTGTGATGACATCGGGGCTAGAATCGCCTAGCGTGTGAGCGATGGAGGCTCCATGCTTTGGAGTTTATTTGTGTATTCAGAGGTTTCACGAGGCAGGGAAGGGGCAGAAGACTTGAAGTCAGATTTGGTTGAAGTCCTGGTTTTGCCACTTACCTGCTCTGTGATTGTGTGTAGCTAATTACCTTCCTCAGGTGTCTGTGTGCTCCTCTTTCAAATGGGGGCCATGGCTTTTAATCACAAGGTTGCTGTCAATATCCAGTATTATGTACATAAGGTTCCAAGACTTTGGTTTGGAACATGGTACTCAGCAAACAGATTTTTTTTTTTTTAAATCCACTCTTTTTGTTTGTTTGTTTTTTGTTTTGTTGGTATATAATTCTATGAAATTTTATCACATGTGCAGAGTCAAGTAATTATCCCCACAATCTGGATACAAAACTGTTCCATCACTACTAAGAAACCATTTGTTTGGGATGCTTTGGGTGGCTCAGTCTGTTGGGCATCTGCCTTTGGCTCAGGTCATGATCCCAGGGTCCTGGGATCGAGTCCCACATCAGGCTCCTTGTTCAGTGGGAAACCTGCTTCTCCCTCTGCCTGCCACTCCCCTTGCTTGTGCACTCTCTTTCTTTCTCTGACAAATAAATAAAAAGATAAAATCTTCAAAAAAGAAAAAAATAAACTCTTTGTTTCACCCCTTCCTAGTCACACCCTCTCCCAACCCTAACCCCTGGCAACCACTGATCGATTGTCTGACACTATAATTCTGTCACTTCAAAAATCAAATAGCATGTAAACTTTTTTTTTTTTGGGCAATCAACATATATTACTATTATTACTGCAAAAAAAAGGAGCTATTTTAAAAATGTGTATCAATACCAGGCAAAAAGGGGCAAAAACGGCTTTGAGCAGGGTCTAATCTTATTTCTAACCACCCCACAGCTTTATAGAAGTACAATAAACAAATGAAAATTGCTGGGGCACCTGCATGATTCAGTGGGGTAAGCCTCTGCCTTCCACTCGGGTCATGATCTCAGGGTCCTGGAATCGAGCCCCATATTGGGCTCTCTGCTCTGCAGGGAGCCTGCTTCCCCCTCTCTCTCTGCCTGCCTCTCTGCCTACTTGTGATCTCTCTCTGTGTCAGATAGATAAATAAAATCTTTTAAAAAATTGTATATTTTAAGGCCTACAACGTGATGATTTGACACATACATACACTCTGAAGTTAGCACACCCCAAGTGAACACAGCCCTCACCTCCATGTAACCTTTTGAGATTGGCTTTTTTCACTCAGCAGAAAGCCCTGCCATCCACTCAAGCTGTCCCAAGCAGCAATAGCTCATTTCTTTTTATTGCTGAGTAATATTTCATTGTATGGATATACGACAGTTTGTTTTATCCGTTCACCTGTTGAAGAATGTTTGACTTGTTTCCAGTTTCTGACCTGTGGTGGTTAATTTTATATGTCAGCTTGACTGGACCACAGGTTGCCCAGATACTTGGCCAAATGTCATCCTGGATTTTTCTGAGGGTATTTCTGGATGAGTTTAGAGTTTATTTATTTATTTATTTTTAAATAATCTCTACACCCAACGTGGGGCTCG